CTTCCAAAGAACCTTAATACATAAGGTTAAAACTTTATCACACAAACAATCATGCAAAGTTCCATAACCATTTCAGTTAAAGTTTAGCAAGGATTATAAACAATGTTTAACCATTTTCGGTAAGGTCAACTTATCGTTCGCGTTTATGCGGGTGGGTCTCAACAGACCAGAGCTTTTCATAAACGTGCCAAGCCCACCATGCGATAAATCAATTCACATGAGAATTCAAATATAAGAACAATAAGAGTCATGATGGGTGACCAACACCATGTTGGCCACACCCGGACATGTTCCGGGTATCCCCGGGGAAGTGGTAAATCCTTTTTAAATCAAAATTCATCAAATCAATCACAAATCACATGAGAGTTTAAAGCCATATCCATAGGCGGTCGTCAAACTGAGTATCGTAAGAACTAAAGGGTGTCCCACATCAAATTGAATCACGGAAAAAAAACGCTGTAGAAAATTACCTAGTTGACCTATCCTTTTCAAACTTTCAGACAAAAACTATAACCCATTAGTAAGCTTTTGGCATATTTATTTCATTCAACTTCAATACCATAACCGTACGCACGCACCTAACGCTTAACTCCACTCATTGGGTTATGTACAACATGTGGCTGCAGCTTCTTCTGTACGGAAATCCACTTTTTCTTCATGTCTTCCTCCGATTTGACTTCCTTGGGATGCTTCCGTAGTGCATGCAGACGCTTCTGTGGTCACTCTTTGAGATAGATCTCTCCGTTTACAGTCCCGGTAGTCACGAACGGCGCACTCCGTTTGCCACATGAGCAGATCGCTTGCCAAATCATGTATTTCTTGGCAAACTTTGAAAGTTTCTGGTTCCTTACTTCCTCGCGAACTTTAAACTTGTGCTGGACGGTGAAGAACAATAGCCCCGGAAGCTGCCGGTAGTCCGCCTTGACGTAAGTCTCATCATCCATGATGAGACAATGAGGCTTCGTCAGCATCTGGGTGTACAGTTTCCGGGCCCGTGACTTTCCCACCGTATTTTGCTGTTCGTCACGATTTGGAGCCTTCTGCACTTTGTACGTATGCAGTCCCTCCCGGTCCTTGGCTCTCTGAACGAAAGGCTTGGACAGATTCAATTTTTTGGCCACATCTCTGACCGAAGCATTGCGATTCCGCTTAAACGCTTTCACGACACGCTTGTGATCCTGATCACTAATGGATCATTCGATCCATTCTGAACGCATTTCTTTCGATGCTCAGAGTTTCGTAGTAACGTTTAATCACACGACTCACCGTTGACTGCACGATTCCGAGTTGTTTTCCGATGTCCCGATGAGAGAGTTGAGGATTTTCCAGGTGCTTGCACAAAATCAATTCGCGACGTTGCTTATCGGGTGACGCCATTTTTACCAACTTTCGAAAAACTGACAGCGATAAAAATACAGTGTAAACAATACACTCTACCCAAATTTTCAAGAAAAAATACCCAATGAGTAATTTTCTACAGCGTTTTTCCGTGATGCAATTTGATATGAGACACCCTTTATATTTGACACATCCGGACATGTTCCAGATACCCTCGGGGAAGTGGACAAAATCTATCTTGAGATAAATCTCACGATGCGATGTGTTGTCTAACATTTCTAACATATATTTTTTTTCTAATGGGACTGACTTGCGGTTACTTTTCACTGTGGGACAATTTGACTTGGTATTGTTTTTCATTTTTCTTGTACAAGCCACCTTTTTTCAATAGCACATCTAAAAATACATAGATAGATAAGCTGAATAATGATGCTTGCTAACTCAAAATTGTTAAACAATGCAGATGGGACTGACTTGCGATTACCGGCAGTAAAGCACTCTAGTAAAAGTATGGACGACTGTCACTACAAACCTGAAAAAAGTTGTTCCAATTTGCTCGATTGAGTGCATTTTGACGATTTGATTGGAACAACTTTTGACAGACGTGCACACTTTTCTCTAGATCTTTGCTAGATACAAAGGTGCTGTTTTCTACTTTATTGTTCAGAAAGCTAAAACATTTTGAATGGGTGACAGTTTAGATCAAAATTCTCTCACTAGGCGGCGCTAGTATTCTTATAAACTTCGTGTACAAGCAGGGTCGCCATCTCGAGATCGCTGCTGGAATAAAATTGCTGTTTTCTGGAATGTTTGTCTAGAGGACAAGACCTTTTGATTTAGGGACAGATTAGTTCGAAATTTCCTCACTAGGTGGCACTAGTATTCTTATAAATTTCGTGTAAATGCTGGGTCGATATATCGAGATCTTTACTAGATACAAAGTTGCTGTTTTCCGCAACGTTGTTCAGAAGGTCAAAACCGTTTGAACTGCGAACAGTTTGGTTCCGAATCATCTCGCTAGGTGGCAATAATGTTGTGCATACATTTTATGATTTTTAGCAATATCTTATTAAGGATATCTAAACAATTTGTGACTCTTTATCGAATTGAACGGTACATATGGAAAGGTAAATAAATTATAAAGCAACCTATATAATAACCATTCCATTTTTTTAATCACATCCGTTCAAAAAAGAGAGGTAAATTGTGGATTGTCCTTAGTAGGGTGAAAATTAGATCAAAACCCTACTGATGTTTTCTTTAAAACCATAAGTTGAAAATAAGTTCAAATGTCGTGGTAATTCGTTTTAGGTGTTGATGAAGAAATTGAGATCCTTTACCAGTGTTTGGAACGTTATTTTGACTTATCGTTTATATCAAAATCGAAAATACAAAATGCAGTGCAGTGCACAATGGACCAGGAATTAAATCTAGCTGGAAACATAATCACTGGGATTGCATTCAATTGAGTTGACGTCTTGAGTGAAGTTTCTTGTATTAATTAGGACTACAGTCCACCAGTACAGTACAGTATCCACCAAATAGTACAAGTTTTGACCGTAAAGATGGCGCAGCGATACAAGCTTTTTTATTTCGCAAGATAGAGGTTTTCAGTCTTCGACAAAGTTGTATAACGTAGAATTTATAAAAAAAATCTGAAGACCTAAAAACTCTGCATCTTCAAACAACTGCGATATACGATGTTTTATGAAACATGCCTGAAATTCATGTTTTCAGTATTTTATTTTGAACAATCGCTCAAAAGAATACTTTTATCACAGACAAACAGACATAACACTCACAAGTTGTTCATCGAACAAGCATTTACGGGCAATTTAAAAGTATCTCAGTTGGTAGTACTGTCATCTGTTGCGCGCATAGTCAATTCCCTTGCGTTTGACGTTTACACACTACGGCCATCTGTTCAGCGTACTACCCACCACAGTGTACTCAGCAGATGGCGGTTGTGTTTTAGCGACGATGTTTTACAATGAGAAATATTCAATGGGTTATGTCTGTTTGTCTGTGCTTTTATCATTTCTCCTCGATCGGTACTGATCAATTCAATCTTTTTCAGATCAATGCTATTATTTTTAGAGTACTAAAAAATATATATGACATGGAATTTAAAAAAAAAAAAATGATTTGCTGAACGTAAAAATACGAAAGTGAACGCAAAATATCATAAATTCTTCAAAATGTACACCAAAGACACTTTAATTCCTCAAAATATTTCAGAGATATATTTGAGATATTTTGACTAGACTCAAACAATATATTTTATTTACAAAAAACGGTATACGCAGTTTATGAACAGTCCCCTATTGAAAACAACTTAGGTACGGATGGATGGATGAACATCACATTTGGTTATGCCAAATGAAAGCCCAAACTTTCCTCTTATCAGTGATATGGGGCTGTTCATTAACTACGTTGACAGTTTTTTGGGATTCTTGATCCCCCCTCCCCCTGCGTAGACATTTGTCTATACAAAACAAAATTAAATTTGTATGGACCGAGGATGATTGTCAACCCCCCCCCCCCCCTACGTAGTTTATGAACAGCCCCTATGTAGATATTAGAAATATCTTGAGAAGTTTCAAAAACACAGTGCTTTAAATAAATAGCTCATTAGGACTCATATATGTTATCAAACCACTTTTTTATTTTCTTCCACTTGCATAAAAAAATACTCCATCAAAAATTTGAGCTGTAAATTGTAGGGAAAAGTCTCAACTTTCTAACGGCGTGCTTATTTTCAAAATCGATGGGAGGTTTGCTGATGAAAAACGTATTTTTAAGTTTAAATCCAATATGGCGGCAAAATTCAATATGGCCACCATAATTTTTGAACATGAAGAGCATCTTTCTTGAGAATTTTCAAAGATATAATTATTTTAATGTATCTATCAAGAATACGCACAAATTGAGCATTTTGGAAAGTTTTAGTTACCGAGAGGTCCATCAATCGGCTCTGCAAAGCTGCAGCAAATGAGCCTGGAAAAATAAACGCACTATAAAAAAAGAGGGGTCCATCATTTTAAGTTTTTGAGAACCTCGTGCAAAAAGTGGACTGGTTTCAGTGAGAATTACTCATATGGTCAAATGTGTCTGTTCTAGAAAATAAGTGTAATCGCATATCAGCCCCATGTGCGTTCAATAAGCTAATTTTGAGTTAACAATACTACAACTATGCACAATGAACTGGTTGAAGTTCTTTGTCCCTGATTCGATTGGCAAGCCAAAAGCCCCTTGCTATTTTTTTGGGAATCTTTTACCAATTTTAGCCGCAAAAATCAAAAGCTGAATCGAACTGTTTCACGATTGTTTTGAAGCTCATCCTCGCACCAACTTGGAAAGAGTTCAAAAAACTGTACAACACTCGTGTCTAATAGCTCAATTCAAGCACCTCTGCCGCCACAACCGGGAGGGAGCTGCCGTGAGACCAATGAATCGCGTAATCTTCCCAACAGCTGTTGCGACTTCCTTCGATTCTTCTTCGATCGAAAACAAAAAAGCATAATAAAAACTGAAACAACAAGAGCAACCAAAACATGAATGAATCGATTTTCCGGTTCTTCCACCCGAAAATGCTGATTCAATTACCTCTCCGGTCCGGAATGATTCCCCGCACAACCGAAACAGCCCATGGGAGAACTTACCTTGTCATCTGATTTAATACTCTTGGTAGGAATTTTGGCAATGATTCGTTTCGCTACGTTGCAAAGTCGCCTCTGCGGGAGATAGGAGGGTAGAAAAAAAATCAATCAATTTACAATCTTGAAACATGCAATTGTATTTATCAACTCTCGAAAGTGTGTCACACATCGACGCTCAATTAATGGTAGGTACTTACCGATTGTTTATCTTTGGTTTGCAAATACCGGAACCGCTGCACGTAGTAGAACACCAGCCACACCAGCGAAATGATCATCAGTACGATGAACGATACGGAAACGAACAGCACCGATGTTCTGGAAAAGAATGATGGGAAGGGGATTTGGTGAAAATTGGATTCGACAAAACGAAGCCGTCGTTACGAGGTTCAAGCTACCGATTGATGTTGGCCAGCGAGCGGATGTGGTGACTTCCCTCGATGATTGCGATCGTTAGTTCGTAGCCCTGCCGCTCCAGGTTGTCGATCAGTTCGTGACCCTTGGCTTTGGTCGTGAAGACTGCGGTGATGTTTCCTGCAAAGAACAACCAATTAGACCTTCGAGCTTTTAGGCAGTACTGTGAAATTTGGCAAACAAATTAAACGAACTGTGGAATGTGTGTTGAAGGCGAATGAAGTGAGGTCAGTTATAGAACGAATGCAAACACTTTCATTGCAGCAGGAAGTAGGGTTAAATACCCCATTTCCGGCCTATTAAGCACAACCCGCACTTAGTCTTTCTTAATCTAGCGCAGTTTAGCACCAAACGGAATGTTATTGTTACTGATGGCTTCCAAATTTATTTACCTTTCCGTACGTACCAAAAGATTTGATATAGAGAAACCAATCGTTGAAATATTGCCAAAAGTCTAACACTGCTTCTTGACGCCAAACTCGGCCTACGGATTCTAAACTCGGCCTAACGCATTGAAACGCCATTGAAATGCCAATGAATTCACTTCGGCCTCTCGGATGAAGATAAAAATTGATTCGGTCGGAGCACTTCTTTTGTTTTTGAGAATAATGGGTGCAAATCTTCATATCACGCGTTCTCATTGACTTCGTTCGGTAGCTTATTAACTAAAGTATCGTACCAAACGCATAATTGACTTGTTAACTCTGAAATCATGGATTTATTTGAAGTTTTCTGCTCGATAGGCCCAAAATGGGCGATTAGGCCGAAGCAGTTCTCTACCCTATCGTTTGCACTTGTTTTTTTTTTTCGTTTGCCGTTGCACAAAAGTGCGTCGCAATAAAAAAAATACTGAGTAAGTAGGTGAGAAGAGTAGTGGAGCAAAACAAAATAGTTCCGCGCCCCTTCACCCGGATTCCGGTCCTGCTGCAGAACGTGCAAACGTGACAAAACAGTCCAACATTGTTGTGCAGTTCCACGCCAAATGACGAATCGATCTGATGCGACCTGCTCCGATTTGCATGAAACTTTGCATAATTGTTTGTTATGGTCAATCATTCATATTTGAGGGAAAACTCGGCCATTTTTTAATCTTGCTTTCGAATTTTTTCAACACATCCAGTAACACTAAAACGTCACTTCCAATCTAAATGACATCTGACATAGTGGTGCAACTTCTTGCAATTAATAAAAAGTTTTTTTTTTTTTGATAATTTTGTAATTGTTTTGTTTGTTTGTTCATACACTGGGTAACAAAATATTAACAACTAGTAGTTAAGTAGATTAATTGGTGAAGGTTTTTTGAAGTTTTTTTTTTCTTTTTAAGCGGTTGTGCACCGCGTTTGCGCAACACTTATGGCGTCTTCAGATGCCTACGTTGCGCGAACTAGATACTATCAACCGTCTTCGAAAGGACCATGGGTTGTCTTTTTTCGGCCTAAAAATAAAACTTTGAAAACTCTCGACATTTCGAGAGACTTGCTGCGTAAGTATCTGGGAATCTTGGTACATAAGGAGAGATTCAATAAACTGCGTGTAGAAGCACCGAATTATGATGTGGCAAATAAAATTGCTGAACACGAGCTGTTTAGTGTCGAGTACAACATCTACATCCCTTCTCGAGATGTGGAGATAGAAGGTGTGGTCTCCGACGTGAGTCTGAGTGTCGCGGACTTAAAACGAGCATCGGGTTGCTTCAAAAACTCGAAAATCGGAGATCAGGTACAGATACTGGATGTCAGGCAACTGCATTCAGTATCTTTGCAAGATGGCAAAAAAGTTTATCAGCATTCAGACTCGTTTCGGGTGACTTTCGCTGGTTCAGTTCTCCCAAACTTTGTTAAAGTTGATGGTGCTTATTTTTCCGGTGCGGTTGTTTGTACAGAGGGTATATAATTGTACCAACTGCAAAAGGCTGGGACACTCAGCCAGCCATTGCGGCAACAAAACTCGTTGTGGCAAATGTGGTGAAAACCACATAGAGAATTCTTGCCACAAAGAATCAGTAAAATGCGCATATTGTGGCGAGAATCCTCACCCCTTGCAGGAGTGCCCGATGTACAAACAGCACTCCGATAAAGTGCAGCGTTCAATCTCTGGACGCTCCAAGCAGTCATATGCACAAATGGTGAAGGCTGCATCAGCCGTCCAAGATGAAAATCAATTTTCGATTTTGTCAGCTGAAGAATCGGACTCTGACTCATCCGATGAGGGTGACTCTACGGTGGTACACGCACCTTTGAAAACGAACGGATCCTCAAAACGAAAATGCTCCACCCCAAAAGTGCGCCGTAAGAGGATTGCAAAATTCCCAGGGTAATAGGGATGAAAAAATTAAATCGAAGGCTCCTACTGCTCCACTTCCTGGCTGCAGTAAGGATTTTCCGCCATTACCCAACAAAGATAAGAAAAACAAAAAAGCTGCTCCTCAAACTTCTCAAAAGAAATCCAAGTCCGAACGAGGTTTGCTAGCTTTTTCGGACATTGTGGAATTCATATTAAATATGTTCAACATACAAGACCCTCTTAGAAACTTAGTTTCTGCCTTGCTTCCAACGTTAGAATCATATCTTAAGCAATTGACTGTTTCATGGCCCCTCCTTGCATCAATCATATCTTTCGATGGATAATTCGTCGAACGAGGTTGAAGATATGATCACGGTGCTACAGTGGAACTGCCGTAGTCTAGTGCCTAAACTAGACTCGTTCAAATTTTTACTTCACAATTCTGATTGGGATATATTTGCTCTCTGTGAAACATGGCTTTCTTCCGATAAAGAACTCAACTTCCACGATTTTAACATTATACGCCTGGATAGAAACGATTCTTATGGAGGAGTACTTTTAGGGATCAAAAAGTGCTACCCTTTCTACAAAATTTCCCTCTATCAGGCATCGAAATTGTCGCTTGCCAAATAAATGTGAAGAACAAAGACCTTTGCATAGCTTCAGTGTATGTTCCACCAAGAACCTCCATTAGCCGTAGTCAACTCTGGAATCTAGTTTCGATTCTTCCATCCCCAGTATTAATTCTGGGTGATATGAACTCCCATGGTACTGGGTGGGGCGATCTATATGACGACAATAGAGCGGCTATTTTTTACGATTTATGCGACGATTTCAACTTGACTATTTTGAACACTGGTGAAGCGACACGTATAGAAAAACCTCCGGCTCGAGAAAGCCGACTCGACTTATCTTTGTGTTCAAGATCGCTATCATTGGATTGTGTGTGGAAGGTTATCAATGATCCCCATGGTAGCGATCATTTGCCAATCATCATTTCAATTAAGTGTGCCCCTCACTCTGTAGAACCATCTCGAGTTCCATTTGATCTTACAAGGAACATAGATTGGCATAAATATGCAACGGCGGTGACAATCGGTGCCAAGTCAATAGAGATACGCTTCCACCATTGGAAGAATATCGATTCCTCACCGATTCGATGTACAAAAGCTCACTGGAAGCACAAAAAAGAAAAGTTCCAAGTGCGCCCTTCAAAAGGAGACCAGCCACACCTGGATGGGACGAAGAATGCACAAAATTGTATGTAGAAAAATCTGATGCTTTCAAAGCTTTTCGTAGACACAAAACCTCCATTTACTTCGAGGAATATTCAAAGCTTGAGACAAAGCTGAAACAATTAATCAAAGCAAAAAAACGCGGTTATTGGCGCAATTTCGTCGAGGGACTCTCACGAGAAACCTCAATGAACACCTTGTGGAGGGTGGCTCGGAACATGCGTAACCGCTCATCTTCTAATGAGAGTGAAGAATACTCCAACCGATGGATATTCGATTTCGCAAAAAAGGTCTGTCCGGACTCAGTTCCAGCACAACACATTCTTCGAGAAGCGTCTCCGAGCGGCGGCTCTCTGGATAGACCATTCACAATGCTGGAATTTTCTATGGCTCTTCTTTCATCGAACAACTCCTCACCGGGAAGCGATATGATTAAATTCAATCTTCTGAAAAATCTCCCAGATATTGCTAAAAGACGCTTGCTAGACTTATTCAATTCTTTACTAGAAAACAACATTGTTCCGCCTGAATGGAGACAGGTCAAAGTAATATCCATTCGAAAACCTGGCAAACCAGCGTCTGACCATAACTCATACCGTCCGATTGCTATGCTTTCGTGCATTAGGAAATTGTAGGAGAAAATGATCCTTCGGAGACTCGATCAGTGGGTCGAAACAAATAACTTGCTATCAAATACACAGTTTGGGTTCCACAAGAGCAAAGGAACAAACGATTGTCTAGCGCTGCTTTCCACAGATATTCAACTGGCCTTTGCGCACAAGGAGCAATTGGCTTCAGTATTCTTGGACATTAAGGGGGCTTTTGATTCAGTTTCCATTGAAAATCTGTAAGACAATCTGCACAGATGTGGACTTTCTGGAATTTTAAATAATTTCTTGTACAATTTGTTGTCAGAAAAGCAAATGAACTTTTCCCTTGGACAACTGACAACTTCCAGAATTAGCTACATGGGCCTGCCCCAAGGCTCATGCCTCAGCCCTCTTCTTTATAACTTTTATGTCAAAGATATCGACAACTGTTTGGCAGAACAATGCACGCTAAGACAACTTGCAGATGACGGTGTGGTTTCCGTAAGAGGTCCACATGCCGTGGACTTGCAAGGACCATTGCAAAGTTCCTTAGATAACTTGTCTTCTTGGGCTAGGAATCTAGGGATCGAATTCTCGCCGCAGAAAACTGAACTGGTAGTGTTTACTCGAAAGCGATACCCAGCCCAAATGCAACTTAATCTTTTGGGCAGAAACATTACTCAATCATTGTCTTTCAAGTACCTTGGGGTCTGGTTTGATTCAAAGTGCACTTGGAATACCCATATTACGTATTTGAAGCAAAAATGTCAGCAGAGGATCAACTTTCTCCTTTCAATTTGCGGCACATGGGAGACCTCATAACGCTTTATAAAACAACAATTCTCTCTGTTCTAGAGTACGGATCTTACTGCTTTCTCTCGGCAGGAAAATGTCATGTGTCAAATGTCGTTGTCTGCGTATTGCTCTCGGCTGTATGCACTCAACGCATAACATGAGTCTCGATGTTCTGGAAGGAGTAACACCCCTCCAGAACGGTTTCTGGGAGATCTCT